AGATAGATAGATAGATAGATAGATAGATAGATAGATAGATAGATAGATAGATAGACAGACAGACAGATAATAGATAAACTTATAGGTATATGATAAGTAGGTAGATAGATACATAGAGAGAAAGATACCATGGCAAAAATAATAACAATAATTGAATGACCATTACTCAATATCAGACATAAGCCATAAAATGGAAGAATGTAGAAGAAAGAGAATAGAGACCAACAGATAACTGTTGTTAGGTACTTCCATACATACCTCTTTTAAAGGTTCTAACACCTTTGTTCCCTAAATATCATTATTTCTATAGTAAAAAAATATTTTAGGATCACAGAAATTAAGTAATTTGTCAGTGTACACAGAGAAAGCAGGGTTTCGTGGGGTGAATGGTTTACAACCGAATGTTTATAGATGACCCCAGGATTAGAATGCAGAACCCAAGAATGTGTGTACTGGAAGGCTTGTCTGACACCAGTCTAGTTAATAGTAAAAGTGTTTAGAGCCTGGTCATTATTTATTATATGAAAGGTCCGTAAAGGCAGTACTGACCTAAACATATGTGTAGATATTTGTCTGCATGCTTTCTCATAAATAATCTTGTGTCTTAACCTTTACCTTCTCCACGCTTTTACAGAATGGGAGATGTGACCCTCTCACATGTGGAAAAAAGAAGTTCAAATTACATTGTGTTTCTGTCTCCAGGTGATCGTCTGGGGTGACTATGGAAGAATGGACCACAAGTGTTTTATGGGTGTGGCTCAAATCTTGCTGGAAGAACTTGATCTGTCTAGCATGGTGATTGGATGGTATAAATTGTTCCCTCCGTCGTCACTGGTGGATCCCACCCTCACTCCCCTGACCCGCCGGGCTTCCCAATCATCTCTGGAGAGTTCATCTGGGCCTCCCTGCATCCGATCATAGTAAACTCTTAACCTTCCAACCAAACTTCACATTTCAGGATAATTATCAGAACCAGATATTTCATGATCAAGAGCATTGTTGGAGACAGACAATCAACTTGTGTTTTGCCTGTAGTAGTTTTTCGGTGTTATGTCCCAATTGTTGTTTAAAACATGGCTTCATGTGGCAGAACAAGGCAGTCATTCAGATTACGGTAAGAAGACTTGCTCGCGAGAGTCACTGATGCTTCCAGCAAATAGAAAAAGAGGAACCGCCCAGTTCACACACACACCAAATAGAACAAACTGGAAACTCTCACTCTGAAAAGTTATACGTCACACGATTCTGCACAGACCACAAGCGGGGTTACTTCCCTGGTGTTTAAGGTTGTTTAGTTGTCTGTGTGCTTTAGTTACCTGTGTGCTGTTTGCTGGTTTCTTTTCTCCCCTTGTCTTTGTTTCTGTCTTCACTGTCTTTGTGGTTTCCACTAATTTTTTTGGTTTTTTTTTTTTTTTTGTATTTTTTCCCCTTTGCTTTGTCATAACAGGGTTAGTGGTGATAACAGAGGCCCTTCCTTTTTTTTTTCCAAAAGCACCACAAAGGGCTGAAGCAGTTTCTGTAGCATTTTCCCCCTAACGTTTTCAAAAGCTGGGTGAGGTGAAGCCAGGGAAGAGTATCACTGGCAGTCAGTTCACAGTTCTTCCAAGTCTTGTATGTACAACCACTCACCACCCCTCCAAAAAGAGCTCACCTTCCAAACTGGTAGTCACAGAATCCCTTTTTCAATGAAGAGCATATCTGTTTGCATTCCAGATAATTTGTTCATGTTTTCCATTGTTGTCATGAAAGACTTTCAAGTCGATCTGCAACTAATGCTGGGGATGAAGGCTAGCCACATAGTAAAGCTTCAGAAACCATTTTGCAATGCCTTTTACTTCCAGATAAACAAAACAAAAAGATGCTCACATGTAGGAACCATACTCTCAACTTCCCAAAATGGTGACTAAAAGTGGATTGGAGCCTAAGACACTTTCAGCGATGCCCAGGCTTCTCAGCCATGCCTCAGTGTAGACTCTCCCATCTGCCCTGGAAAGAGCATGGTATGAGCTGGTTACTATTGCACTGTAAATTCCAGGTCATATACTCTGCACTAAACTAATGTTCCTATTGGATTTTAGTTTATATTTCTTTAAGGTCAATGCAAGCACAAAGCTTGATTTTTTTTAATGCACAAGATCTTACTTTTGGGGGAAGAAAAAGAATACAGTCAAATTCCAATTTGCATATCCTTCATTTGGGTTTTCTTGGCCTTGGATCCCCCCTTGTGACCCTCTGTGTCTGTGCTGCAGGCGCCTGGCCCTGCAGCTGCATCAATAATGCTCTCCCTCCTTTTATGAGTCGTTCAACTTTTGTGATTTCCCAGGTAGAGCAGCATGACCCGGAGCTGTTCAAAGCTGCATGCATATTTTGTATAAAAAAAAATGAAAAAGAAAGAAAAAAGCAAAGAGACAAGAGGTTATTTAATAATGTATGTTAGCTCCACATAGGCCAGCTTGTATGTTGCATGTACTTGTACAGTTTGCTCGTTAATTAATATCCTGAAATAATCAAGAAATCTAAGCCATCCATTTTTGTCACAGACATTTTGCAGGTTTTAGCCAGACTCAGTATGTGGGTCTGGGGTGAAATGTCTATAGATGGACTTTATTTTTTACCCTCTGGAAAACGTGATGTAGTACGGACCAAATTCCTTCTAATAAATATTTTGGTGTAGATTCCTCCCGTGGGGCTGTAACACATGTAGACACTGTGTACACACTAGGTTTTAATCCATAGACATACTGCCTGCACCAAGTGAATTATTTATTATGATTTACACATGTCAGAATTACCTGCCCATCATTCCACAGGGCACAGATTGACCACCACTCACCATGCTGTGCAGGAAGAACCGAAGCAATTGGTGCACTTCTACTAGATTCCGTTCTGTCTTAGTGGCCAACGACCAACTGATTATAATTGGGTAGTATCTTTCTATTTTGACCACTTGTCTTAACACTCCCCTGTGCTTTTAAATGAACTTCCCACTCATGTATGTAAACATGTTTAATAAAATTTACTTTTCATGTCAGTCAGTAGCCATCTGTGTTCTATGTTTTGCCAGCTTTCCATTGTGGGTTCTTTGGTGCAAAATGAGAGCCAGTTGATGGGAGAGGGAGGCTGGGGTTTGCTGTCTGCTGCGGGCATTTGATTGACCTGTCACTGCACTATATATGTCTGAACTTATGACCTGAGAGGTACTTTGCATTACATATGAGTATTCACTTTGTCAGCCTGTCTAAGTGAGCACATGACTATACTTCTGAAAAGTGGCATTATTAAAAACAATAAATCTCAGTAAGAATCGAATGAAGGTTGTTTTCTCTGCTGCTGTTTGAATGTGCTAATAAAAGAGGCAACTCTGTTGTCCAGTTGACAAATCATTTCAAGTTATATGACATATTGAAGTATCAATTCTTGCGCCTCTTGTCATAGTGTCTATTCCTTCTCTCAGTCTTTCCCTACTAGCCCATTACCTAGCTCACACTGTGGTATCAATATCATGTCTGACATGAACAAGCACCTTAAGATATCACACCAGCATTTATCTGTGATTTAAAAATAATTGTCTGGCTTTTGCCCACGGAGTGGATGAATTTATTTATTATGTTAGGTTGAAAAGAGGCTGAAGCTGTATTCAGTTTCATTGACAGCAAACTATCAGGGAAGCTGTTTCAAATGTTTTTATTAACATATGGCTGGATGAGGGTGGAGGTCAAACATGCCGTCGACACCAGAGGCAGCTGGAGGTAGCTTTAGGATTCTTTATCTAGACCAGAAAAGAAAATAAATATCTCCTTTCAAGTCTTAAAAAGCTACTATGTCTTATTATTTCAGGTTTACACCGAGGAAAAAGGGGAAATGAATTTGACAGAGAATTTGGGAGCATATTGGAGCCTTTAGAGGGTTGAAGTAAAGGAAGAAATGATGTAATTGTCTAATAATTTCAAAAAGTGAAAAAAAAATCTAAGCCTTTTAAAAAGCACACTTGTTAAGATTTAATGGGTATTTTTCTGCTGGCTTTCTTAAAATTTCAGGCTGACATATATGACTTCATAATGAGTGGACAGATAGGACTTCAGTTGTAAAATTAAATATTTGGAGTACAAAAGGGAAAACAATGGCCTTACCTCGAAGAGTTACTTTCTATTAAAAGAAACGATTCCATAAACAGCCAATCCTGATGGCATCAGTTTATCTATACAGAGATCCCATGGCACTGTGCTGGGCTCTCACGGACATTCTATTAGAGCTACTATGACTCCTGATTGGTACAGCAAGTTCTGCAGGTTAGATCCACTAAGAGCAGGAGATAATGCTGTTGATTAGGAAAGAGATCAGACAACATCCAAACTCAAGGCAAACTCAGGCTCCCACCACAATAAACCATTCTTCACTTTGTTAGTGTCCCACACTGATTGCACTTGACCTCGACCTGCTTCTTCCCAGGTGGAAAGGACCTGAAGCCAGTTCATTCTTCTTTGAAGCATTCCTTTCCGTCTTAGCTTTCTATATGCTGCTCACGTAACTGGGGATACCATGGGAGCAATGAGGAAAAAGCCCCTTTCCAAGGCTTCTCCTCTTAACTGTCCCTCCCTCACTCTGGTCAGCACCTGCATTTTTCAGCTTCTTGAGTACATGCATCACTTACAGCTCTCAGGAACAGTATTAGTGATGGAGATAAATCAAAGCTTCCCCTAGCTAGGTCCCAGTCTTATCCTTAGTTTCAAACTTAACTGTTTTTTTTTTTCAATACACTTACCTGACTTGTCTCTAATCCAACAATGGTCCCTCAATCTTGCATCATCCATAAACCTACATTATGGAGTTGAGTTGGTCATTCTTGAACATTGCATCTGTAGAGCTTCAGGGTGCATCACAGGACCTAAAATATAAGTTATTTCCTTTCCTAACAATTCAATGACTATTCTTCTGTTTCCAGGGCACCGTCTCCTCTTTCTGGCTTGGAAGTCTTCGGGGCTTTTCACAACACCCATTCTCTATACAGTACTTACATCCCAAATCAAGCCACTCAAAGGAAACAAAAATACTTCTTTACACTTCTGAAAAGTAAACCAAACCTGATCAACCAGAACCAGTTTAATTATTTAATTGTGTATGTGTTAGATATAAAGTCACAGATTAACCACAACACAGCAACACCTCAGTGGCTTCAACACCCCACTTTGACTATTTGACAGATTGTCCAAACCAAAGAAAATAAATAAACAGAAACAGTGGAATTGAATGGCCTCATAAATCAGACAGACACTTAAAGAATATTCTATCCAAACACTACAGATTGCACGTTCTTCTCAGCAGCCCATGGAGCATTCTCTGAAACTGATCACATATTGAGATAGAAAGCAAGCCTCAACAAATACAGAAAAACTGGGAAAAAAATGCTTTTATTTTATCCGACCACAATGGAATAGAGATAGAAGTCAACAACAAGAGAAACTACAGAAAATACCTGAGGACATGTTGATTAAACTATACATTGTTGAATCATTCATGTGTCATTGTCAAAATCAAGCTATAAATAAAAATTCCTAGATGCTGAAAGTTAAAATACAACCAAAACATATAAGATACAATAAAGGTAGTTTATATGAGGGAAGTTCATAGCTCCGAGTACAGACATGGGAATATCAGGGACATCTCAAATAACTTACTGACACAGCTTCAGGCTGTGGCAAAGCCACAACAAACCAAACCCAAAAGCAGCAGGTGGAGAGAAGTAATTTAGATCATGGCAGAAATTAATGAAATAAAATTTATAAAATAAAATAAATAAATGACAAGAAAATTCTTTATTTAAAATATTAACATTAATAATTAATCTTGTAGCCAAAATAACCAGAAAAGATAAAGAAGCCCCAAAATTAATTAAATTAGAGATGAATAGGGAGACATTATGATGGGTATCAATGAAATTTAAAAAAATCTGTAGTGCATATATTAGAAACCTATATCAAATTGGGAAAAACTAAATTGGAAAAAAGGAGTGAATATAATTCTTTGCCAGAGTTAAAAGTTGAACAAGGGTGAGACCAATAGACATGCAAACGTGAAAGGGTGAAATCTTGAGGCGTCCGTCCTAGACAGAACTACAGAAAATTAAAGAGCTGGGAGCAGGAGAACGAGCCTTTTCAAGGGAAGACACCCCCAATTTGTGATTCAATACCAAGTGATCAGCCCTAAAATCATATACGTATTGATACATATGCATAATACACATAATACAAACTTATCAGAATGTATTTTGTATGTTTAAAATTGTGTGTGTGTGTGTGTGTGTGTGTGTGTGTGTGTGTGCGCACGTCCCCGCACACGTTTTCAGCAATTTAAGAAATAGAGGTCATGGATTTGAGTGAGAACAAGGGGATATATGGGAAGGACTAGAGGGAAGGAAGGGAAGGGAAATGATGTAGTTACATTTTAATTTCCAAAAACAAAAAAGTGAAATAAAAACTTGAACAGATCTATAAAAAACAATGGACTTGAATTAGAAAAACAAAACATGATAACATGAAAGAAAAAGTTCAAGTCCTCTGCCAGACATGATATCCCTTCTTGTGTAATTGTGGCATACCAGCTGAGAGAGTAGTCAACCACATTCTAATTGGATATGTGGCCTGCTCTAGAGGAGCCAATTCATACATGGTCCCACACCTAGCTAAAAGTCCATAGATTATGCACCTTTGAACTTTTGTCAAAGAAGCTTCTTTACACAGTGGTCAGCAGCCAATACCATTAGCCCATTAGCCAGTCGAAGTGTTAAAATAAGTGAATGTTGAGTCTCAGCCCTATATAGGACATTATGACATTACTGTCATTACAAGGACTCAGGCGACCTCATGGAAGAGGTGACAGAAAGGACATGGGAGTTAGAGGAGAGGAAGAACGCTGTCAAATGCTGTCTTCCACACATGACATAATCGTTTCACTCCTTACTTAGAACAGCTGTCATTACCTGCTTACACAACCTGTGCACCATCAAATCAGTCAGCATTCCAGCCCAGATGGGAGAGCAAGTAAGAAGACTCCACCCCATCTGAGGAACTGTTGGCAATTGATGGCTACTGGGGCCAGGGAAGTGATATTTCTTCAGGGATATGGTTACTGGTAACTTGTTCATGTTTTGGAGGACAGCTCCACGCCCATAGGCATACAGGCAGCAGTAACTGAACTCATAAAAAGACAAAAAGGAGAAGAGAACATGGAGATGGAAGGTAGACATATTAGGGGTATTGGTGGGAGTAGGAGAAGGTGTTTGTGTGGGTGATATCAAAATACATTGTTTAAATGTATCAAATTGCCAAAAATAAAATCTGAAAATAGTTTTTAAAAAGCCCAGGTCCTGAGAATTAATTCACTGCAGAATTTTATCAACCTTTAAAATAGAACCAACACCATAACTTCTCAAATTATCTCATAAAACACAGAAAGAAGGGAACCTTCTGAACTCTTGTTCTGAAACAAGTATCCTCATATTAAAATGGAATAAATACACAACAAAGAAAATTATACACTCATCTTCCTGATGAAGATAGATACAAAAGTTCTCAATAAAATACTTGCAAACTAAATACCAAAACATATCAAGAATACTATTTATCATGATCAAATTGATTGCATTCCAGAGACACAGGAATGATTTGACATACATATATCAAAAAGAAAAACTCATAATATACATAGATTCAAGAAAATTATAACACGATCATGACAGTACACGCAGCAAAAGCCTTTGATCAAAGCTATTTTATCTTTATGATAAAAGCCTTGAGAGGCTAAGGGTGAAGGAAACCATCACAGAGTAAGGATGGAAGGAATCAGAATCTAAGAACTATAGAATGGAACTGTGAGGAGAAGGAGAGCTGTCTGTCTCCTGAACACAGAATATCTGTGCATCTTGAACTCACAGCAGCAATGACTACCTTCACAAGACCATGCCTGTCAGTATTCCATACGGAGGATGCAGGGATCATGAATCCAGATCTCTTCCTGGGAAGCTATAGACAACTAACTATTGGGAGGTTTGAGCAGGGTGCAACATTCATGCACCTCATCGATATCCACAGGAAAGTTGTCCTTGTTCAAGCAAACCAACCCTAACTAATGCTCATTCAAATAACCCAAATTAAGTGCAGTGGGCCACAAACACAAAAGGCATGAAAATAGGATGGGTGTTTGTTGACAATAAGGTATTTGGTAGGAGGGCAAAGTAGGTAAGAGAGGATATTGGTAGAGAATATGATCACAGTACATTACAGACATGTGTGATAAAATTGTAAAAAATTTCATAAATAGAAAAGTAATGATATGGTCATGTGTAATAATGTTACCATGAGTTTACCTTATTCAGGTTATATTCTAA